AACTAATATTTTATGACACAAACTAACGGAAGGGACCAAATGGTTTAACAGAACTTAAGTTAAAGGATCATTATGTAATGTTTTTTTATTCAGGGACCAAAGCGAAACTTCGTTCAAAGTTAAGAGACTCAGTGACTAATTATGCCTAATTTTAACCTTCTCGTGCAAGCTTTCAATGTTATTTTGTATTTTATGAACTATCACCAAAACCAACATTAGAAATTATTGATTCTCAAACAATCTTGGTTCTAACACAATCTTAACTTAGAGAATAGACCTAACATTTGTGTCTTTGCATCAAGTCTCACACACCCTTGGAATGTCTTAGAGCATGAACTGTTTTTGGTTTTTGAAAAATGCCAAAGAAAATTATCGGGACGAGTCGTCTAGTAGGTCGTTTTCTTTAAGACGTTTTATCGTACTGTCAATGTTATGCAATGCAGTCGAGTTTCGACGATGTCTCCAGAATAAAACAGTTTGTTCGAATTACGATTATGACTTATACTGTAATGAATCGTTCGAAGAAATACACCTTCAGATGGTCTTTAAACCACTCGCAGTATCTGAAAATTATCCAATCATTGATGGTGCGATAAGCCACTCGAAAAATAAAACAGAAAAAATTTGAGATGAAGAGAATGAGAGGGAGAAGAGAAATTCTGAAAGGTTCAGAAACCTGGAGTGAGTTGCAAATGAACCGAGGAACTCTATTTCTAGACAAAGGATTCAACTGAGTGGAGCGAAAATCATGGGAAAGAGTTGAAAGTTTCAGTCCCTGACTTATTCTCAAAGGGCAAGCCAAACTCAATCAAAACTAGGTGGGTCAGACAGACGGCGGCGCATGCGTCTAGATGGATTGGTGGTGTGTCCTAACTCCTTTACAAAATTGGATACCCAGTTGATTCGAGACACTAAACTGTTATTTCTTTTGTTGATTTCGGTAGAAGAATGTGTTATCAGACTGGTAAGGATATAGGTTACGTTATATGGACTTTTTCATGTTGGTGTATATGAAAGAGTAGAAATAATCACATTTTTAGAGAAGAACCTTATGAATGGTTCGTGTCTCCGCTCAATTGTATCTTCCATAATTAATTTTTCGTTGTTTTTGTATGAATTGGAGTACCCCTTGTATTCTGGTGTTTTAATTCCATTGTCTTTTAAAAAATAAATAAATAACAAAAATAAGATTAGGTACCCTTGATGCCCAAACCCATTTGCCTCTTATGTGAATTAAAATGAATCTTTTTAAATTCACTTCTATATATTAGTTCTTACTTTTACTTTTGTTCATTTATTGTCCATTTAATTACTCTAATTCCCACTCAGTTTTCAATCATTCCAAGATTTCCAACATGAACACATATGTTCTCCAGAAATTTGGAAAGCTCTTTTGTTCCGCCTACTACTAAGACCACCTCCAACGGTGGTTTTTCAAATTGGTTTGCCAGCTTGACATTGAAATTGTCAACAAAAAGTTGTTCCAGCTGGTGAACGTTACAAACATAAGCAATGGTTCTTCATTTTTTTTATTAAAATAATCATTTAGCCGTTGTGCAACGACTTCATTTATTTTTTTTTTTAACTTTTTTTATTTATTATAAATATAGGTTTGTTGGAAAAGTTGTATACCAATCCTATTTTCTCTCACTTTTATTTACTCTTTAATTTCAAATTTCTCTCTCACAATTTCATCATTTTATTCATAAATATTTAATTTTTTTCCAACAATTTCTTCTCATTATCATTTTATTTCAAATTTTCATCTTTTTATTTCAAATTACATTTGTTTAGGCCAAATGGATCCTAATCATTTTCATTATCAACAAGCTATGTTCAATTTCATGCAAAATTATCAAAATCTTAATTCTCAAAATTCTCAAATTCCATCAGTACCACCAAACCCCGCCATGTTTTTTCTGTCACCAAACAATCCAAATATGTATCAAAATCCTAATCCTCAAAATTCTCAAGTTCCACTATTTTCTACTCAAGTTGGTGTTGAAAAAGAAGAAAGGATTCTCGTTAAAAAAAAATCTCGAGAGCAATTTACAAGGGATGAGGATATATGTCTTATCCAATCATGGCTCAATGTTTCAAAGGATCCAATTGTGGGAGTTGATCAAAAAGCTGAGACTAAAATCCTTTTTGCTGCTTTTTGTCCCATTGGACGCTCCAAGTAAAGAGGACGAGATAGAATTAAAGGTAATGCAAATCATGATGAAAGACACTTCTACTATGAAAGAAAGCCAACGAGAGATTCATGAAAAGTATTGTACTAAAATGAGAAAAAAAATATGGACGGTAGTTAGTACCACTTTAAATTATATGTAAAATGGTCATTAGTACCACTTTAATTTATCAAATCCTATGTAAAATGGTCATTAGTACCACTTTAATTTATCAAATCCTATGTAAAATGGTCATTAGTACCACTTTAAGTCATAATAAATATTATGTTATTCAAACTAGCCGTTATTCAAACTAGCCGTTATGAATAACTAGTCGTTATTCAAACTAGCCGTTATGAATAACTAGCCGTTATGAAAAACTAGCCGTTATTCAAACCATTATATATATTACCACTTGTGTCATTGTTTTCTCATTCTCTTCTTATTCCTCACTAAAATATGGATTCAGATAATTCAGATAATTACAATCAAGAACTTTGGGAGTTAGTTGGAGAAGAATTAATGGACGACGGTGATAAAGAACAACATCTTCAAAATGAATGTCAATTTGGAAGTTCCTCTAGGCCAAAGAGAAGAACTACGGTAGATCGAGGTCGTGAAGAAGGGCACAATCGGTTATTCAATGACTACTTCTTAGAAAATCCAGTATACATAGATGTACAATTCCGAAGAAGGTTCAGAATGCATAGGCATGTGTTTCTTCGAATTGTAGATGCCCTCGGCAATCATGATGAATATTTCCAAATGAGGGTCAATGCAACTGGTAAGATGGGTCTTTCACCATTGCAGAAATGCATATCTGCTATTCGTATGTTGGCATATGGGTCTCCCGCTGACATTGTAGACGAATATGTTCGAATCGGTGAAAGTACCTCAATTGAGTGCTTAGAAAGATTCGTTAAGGGCGTGAATGTTGTATTTGGGGCTGAGTATTTGCGAAAGCCTAACAACACTGATATTGAACATCTTTTACAAACGGGTGAGTCACGTGGCTTTCCAGGTATGTTGGGTTCCATTGATTGTATGCACTGAGAATGAAAAAATTGTCTTGTTGCTTGGAAAGGACAATTTTGTCGAGGTGATCATGGTAAACCCACAATCATGCTTGAGGTTGTGGCATCACAAAACTTATGGATTTGACATGCATTTTTTGGTATTGCAGGTTCTAACAATGACATTAATGTGCTAAACCAATCTAACGTGTTTAACATATTTTGGAAGGACATGCTCCCACTGTGCAATATACAATCAATGGAACACCATATAATATGGGGTATTATTTAGCGGATGGTATATATCCTGAGTGGGCTACATTTGTCAAGACCATTTCAATGCTGCAGGGAGAAAAGAGAAAATTATTTGCTCAACATCAAGAATTAGCTAGAAAAGATGTGGAGCGGGCATTTGGAGTGCTCCAGTCTCGATTTGCAATTATACGTGGTCCAGCGTGTGCTTGGCACATGGAAACCCTCAAGCATACAATATATGCTTGCATCATATTACACAACATGATTGTTGAAGACGAATGACACACATATGGAGGTGATTTTGATTACTCTTATGATAATGTAGATGACAACAACTCAACAACTGAAACATTTAACGGTCCCCATCCGAATCTTGCAACAAGGCTACAAAGAAGAGCAAATATTCGTGAAAAACAGGTTCATCGCCAACTTCAAGGAGATCTGGTCGAGCATATTTGGGAACGTTTTGGACATGAGGAAGATGAAACTTAAATGACGAATTATGTGATGTTATTTATTTTTATTGTTTTTAATCATGTGATGTTATTTATTTTTATTGTTTTTAATCATGTGATGTTATTTATTTTTATTGTTTTTAATTATGTGACATGTATTTAAATTTAATTTTAATTATTATTTTCAATTTTATGTCTAATTTTAATTTTATGTTTAATTTGTATTTATATTAATTAAAATTTAAATATTTAAATTATAATTTTAAATAAAATAAATTTAATATAAATAATATATTTTAAGTAAAGTGGTGGAACTCAATATGAATTCTTTGGAGTTGTACCATTGGAGTAAAAATTGAATGAGTTGCTTTAAAAGAGTGGGTCCCACAAATAACCTAAAAATAGGTTGCACCATTGGAGGTGCTCTAAGAACTATTAGTAATGTGGTTGACACTTGACTCCAACTGCTCCACTTGTATCCCACAAGGCCACACCACAACTATCATAAGGTTTATTTCCTTTTACTCCATTATTAAAATTTGTCATTATTGACATTTAATGATAAATTAAAACTGAATTCATTATTCTGATCCTGACTTAATATAATCTCCCCTCTCTTCTTCCTCATCCAACACTTTGATTAATTTCCCATATTCAGAATTTCATCCTCACACCATAACATACTCTTCCATAGTATATAAAAAAGATAAAAAACAACATTTTCATCCTCACCAGAATTTCATCCTAACACCTTTGGTTAGAAAAAACATGTGTAACCAACCATAAAAACATTTTATGTTGTCTCTACCCTACATAACTCAACTATGTAAATTACCACATAGGAGTGGATTCAAATCACTTCAGAATACTTTGGTGCTGTATTAAGCTTCAAAAAGACTATACTCCAGGAGTCATTATATCTCTCCGCAAGAGAAATAGGCTACAATTTCAGCTAATGTTAAACCTACATTTGTTTCTTCAGTTACAAAAAATCACACCCAGCAAAAGATCATTACACAGCTCAAGCAAAATAAACACAAAAAAGGACAACCCCAAGTCAGATCCTTAAACATGAGGTGCAAAAGTCTAATGTTGGATCTCAACTTCTAGGGGAGGCAGAGAGTGAGGTGAAGGATTGACATCTCTTTGATGTTGTAATTGGCAAGGGTCTGGCTGTCATCTAGTTGCTGATTGTCAAAGTGCAGATGTTGCTTGTGCACCGGGAAGCCTTCCTTGTCAAGAATCCTCTCCTTCACATTGGCTATCGCATCTGAACTCTCGACCATCAGAGTGATCACCTTTCCGGTCAGGGTCTCGATGAATATTTTCATCTGCACCGCAATTTCCAACACCACATTAATCAATGATAAAACTGATAGAAAGAAAACAAAAGCCCTTTCAACTTTTATTACAGCTCAATATGGCAACGGAATCATGAACAAATGAATAAACTAGTAAAGTAATGAAAAGTAGAAGACAGGAGGTACCTTGGGGGTTATGCAGATTTCTAGTTTGAGAGGATCAGAAGAACTAAAATAACCAATTGGAATCACGAGGAACTCCGATGAACGAGTTGCTAAAGTAGCCTGTTGGACATTCTTAGGAAAAGAATGTAACTTCAGCAGACTGCCAAACTTAGACTTGGCCAATATATCATAACTATATCCAGACTCGGAAGAAGAGTTAGGATCAATGCAGCTAATATTGACTGCATTTCCCATATTCATGACAATACTATTATTGAGAGTATATAGTCTGCCATCATTTTCCTCTTGGAGAACCACGGTTTCATCATTAGACTTCAAGGAGACAACGAAGGGGTGGCCATAAGAAAATTCAATTAGAGAATCGCAGTGTTCATGGTTGAAATGGTTGTACAACACTTCTAATGGGGCAAACAAATCACAGCCTGAAAGGGGACAATAACATGGCACATAGATGCATTCTTCTCCATGCTTTCTCTTTCCACGGTAACTAATTGTCTCCCTGCAACCATATTTTTCATTCGGGCATGACATCTTGGTAGATTGCAACTGATCTTCAAAGGATCTACAACGTTTTAAGCTAATTTGTTTCGAGCACTTGTCACACTTGTTCCCAAGCTTATCACAGCAAGTTGAGCAAACAATATGACCATTATCACACTGAATTGCAACATAAAAATTAATGATCAAATTAGACTTTGAACAGAATAAAATAAGATGTTTCTTTGATAGGCTTAAAAGCATGTTATGCATTCAAAAGTATATTCAATATAAATCTAATCATCCCTATTTGTTTTCTCTACAAAATCTGTGTATTTAAGAGGGGATTGCAGCCAGTCCCCAAAACGGTATAGTTGGTAGCTGTGTGAATAATGTTATATCAAAGTTTAGGGAAAACAATACAACAAGTTCGTATCAGACTATAATGCATAGTTACGGTTCGGTACTGTACTCGGGGTACGTACTTAAAAAATTAAGGTACGTTAGAGAACTAAATTGTTCAGTTCACAATATAACATAACTATAAAAGTTTTAAAAAATAAATAAAAAATAGTGTTAAGAATAAGATACATTAACAAAAAAATTAAAATTCATAAATATATTAAAATGATATAATATGGGAAAACCACAAATTTCATTCAAAACTGAATAATGAGTACCGGGTGCGGTACCGGCACTTTACCATTTTAGAAGTACTCATGTATGTTTCACATGTATCAGACAATAGAATAAGATACTTCAATTAAAGACGTAAGACATTCATAGTTTATTAATCAAGGACTCAAAGGTCATTGTTACAAATATCCTAATCGAAACCCTAACTGAGTAGAGTTAACATTTTAAGTTTTTAATCACATGAAACATGATGCATGTATGAAAACAAGTTAACTATTCTCAAAGAAAAAGAAAAAGTTTGAAATGGTAACCTGAAAAACGGGAATGGTCAAGAGTTGAAGACAAACGCAACAATCAAATGCGTGTGGATTGGAAACCTTGACATGCAGTGAGTTCTTCATACGAACTTCTTTTGTGGAATCAACGCTCTCTTCAGACACTTTGTTGCATGGCTCCATTACACGATCAGACTAACAATGAATCAGTGATCAAACAAATTACAACATTAATCTATGATAATAAAAAATTAGAGAAATCAAAGTTGTGGTGAAGAAATAGCAACATTTTACAGAAAACTCACCGAGAAGATACTTGACATTGTTGAAGCTTTGAGAGGGATTGGGGTTTTTGGTATTCCGTAGTTCAATGATGCTTTCATTGATCTTTGACTCTTGAACTAGCTTTTAAAACAATAAATCCCACACATAATGTTTACTGTGCGTTTTTTTTTTTTTTTCATTAAACTACTAGTACTCGGTTGCTTTCGTGGACTCATATCGACACGTCTATATTAGAAATGTAAAAAAAAAAAACTAGTGTGATACTAAGGTACCCGTTTTATTTTAATAAAGAACCTTATGGAGAACAACAACGTTATATCCGTCAAGATTAATAAGATATGTATAATGGAATTAATGTTCTAGGAATATGCAGTTCCATTTGTAATATGTAGTTATTTATGACTTCATCGGAATCGTTTGGTTAGTATAAGATTGTTTTGTTTTTGTTTATATATGTATTTGTTGTAATATGAAATTGTCTTTGGAACTAAACATGTGTATTTATAAAATGTGTCTTCTTATATTTAGTTTGATTTAGTTGGAAAAATAAGTTTGTGTAAATTAGTAAGTCTTTGGAACTTTAAATAACAGTGTTATGGTAGTAGTTAAAAAAAAGTTGAAAAACGTGCTTAAAAGGGAAGTAATGGTAGTACTTAAGAAAAAGTTGGAAAATAAGAAATGTAGCAAAATTTACCAAATTGTAAGCTATAATCCGCACTGCCAAGAGACATTTGAATGCTAGTAACACATATTAGGAAAAACTATTAGGATAGTTAGATTTATTCATTCTTACAAATAATGAATTAATATCAGTAAAAAATTACTATAGTCTGATATTATAAAGAGATATAAAATTGAGTGTTAACACTTCAATGATTAACTTGTTGAATTTCTTCAATTAAGTTTATGTTATAAAATAACTTGTTTGCTCATTGTAATATTATAGATCAAAATATTTGTAGTTAGGATTATGCGGAGAATACAAAGTTAAAAAAAGGTTGGAAACGTAAAATTAAAAATGAAAGAATAATATTTTTTATTAAATTACAGATAAAATTAGTAAGATGTGGAGTTTGATCCATACCAAATATTAAGAGCAATTTAGTTTTTCATCAAATTGGATTTACAACCAAACCTTAAGAACGTATTTGAGTAATGAATAAATTAACTTCATTGATTTGTGTATTATTCCATAAAGAATAAATGAAAATAATTCTTACAATAATGGTATTTGGGGTATATTTGGGATGTTACATTAGTGGTATTAGAGCAGACCGGTCTGTCCGGCCAAGTTGTTGATTCGTAGTGTTGTGACAGTTGAATATTGTTGTTATTGTCTTCTAGTCAGTGTTATTGTTTATGGTGGAAAAACAAAAATGGCTGGAAGGAACGATGTTGCTATTGTTGTTGCTTTGCAGGTTGTTGCTCATGTTGTTTAGGATCAGCCTAATGCTAGTGGGAATGATGAGTTCCGTCACTTGGAGAAGTTCCAAATGAACAATCCGCTTACTTTCAGGGGTAGGTATGATCCGGATGGAACGCATGTGTGACTCAAGGAGATTGAAAGAATCTTTCGAGTGATGTAATGTTTTGAAGAATAGAAGGTACGGTTTGTTACGCATATGCTGGTTGGGGAGGCTGATGACTGGTGTATCAGCACTCGTCAGGTGTTGGGGACTTCAGGTGAAGTTGTTACCTGGGCTGCGTTTCGTAGGGAGTTCCTGAAGAATTACTTTTCTGAGGATGTTCGTGAGAAGAAGGAGATTGAGTTTTTGGAGCTGAAGTAAGGTAATCTGACTGTTATTGAGTATGCTGTCAGATTTATGGAACTTTCTAAGTTCTATCTACATTATAGTGAGGTGACTGCTGAGTTCTCGAAGTGTATCAAGTTTGAGAATGGTTTGCATCCTGAGATTAAGCAGGCGATTAGATACCAACAGATCAGGAGGTTTCTAGAGTGGTGAATAGCTGTAGAATTTTTTAGGAGGATAGTAAAGCTCAGTCAGCTCATTTTAAGAGTTTGACTGAGAAGAGGGGAAAGCAAAATGTGAACCGTGGGAAGCCTTACAATGCTCCAGCTAATAAGGATAAACAGAAAGTTGTTGATGGTAAGAGGCCAAGTGAGGGAGGTGTTTCTACTCCTCTTAAGTGTTACAGGTGTGGTGAATTGGATCATCATGTTAGTGAGTACACAAGTGACGTGAAGAAGTGTTACAAGTGTGGGCAGTCAGGACATCTGATTGTTGACTGCAAGGTTAATGTGGTAACTTGCTACAACTATGGAGAGCCAGTACACGGTGTCAAAAGTTGGAATAAGCTTTAACTAGAGGGAAGGTGTTTGCTCTGTCGGGAAATCAGACTTCCAGTGATGATAGGTTGATCAGAGGTACATGTTATATTAATAGCATGCCTTTGATTGCTATTATTGATACTGGTGCTACTTATTCTTTTATTTTTGTTGATTGTGTGAAAAGGCTAGGCCTTTTTGTTTCTTCTATGAAGGGAGAAATGGTTATTGAAATACCTGATATGGGATCAATGATTACTTCTCTGGTTTATTTGAATTTCCCTTTGTTAATCTTTGATAGAGATTTTTGTTTTGATCTTATTTGTTTGCCATTGGGAAATCTTAATGTGATAATGGGAATGAACTGGTTGGAGTTCAATCATGTTTATATCAACTGTTATAATAAATCGGTGAGGTTTATTGCTCTTGATGAAGAGGAAGAAGCTGATTTTCTGCCTGCTAGAGAGCTAAAGAAGCTTTTGGAAGAGGAAGCTCAGGTGCTTGCGTTGTTTGTGTCCTTATCTGTGGAAAGTCAAGCTGTGATTGATGAATTGCGGGTGGTGCTTGCGTTGTCTAATGCGCCTGGTGTGTTTATGGAGTATATGAATCGTATCTTCCACACTTACTTGGATCGATTTTTTAGTAGTTTTCATTGATGACATTCTGATATATTCTAAATCAGAAGAGGAACATGTTGAGCATTTGCGGATTGTGTTGCAAGTGTTGAAAGAGAAGAAGCTTTATGCAAAGTTGTCGAAGTGTGAATTCTGGTTGAAATAGGCGAGTTTTCTGGGTCATGTTATTTCAGGTGATGGTATTGTTGTGAATCCATCCAAGGTAGATGAAGTTCTACAATGGGAGGCTCTGAATTCGGTTACAGATATTAGAAGCTTTTTGGGTTTGGCTGGTTATTATTACAGGTTTATTGAAGGCTTTTCTAAGTTAGCACTTCCGTTGACTCAGTTGACTTGAAAAGGTAAATCATTTGTATGGGATAATCATTGTGAGAAGATTTTCGTTGAACTGGAGAAGAGATTGACTACAACTCTAATTTTTATTTTACCAGAACTAAATGAATCGTTTGTGGTGTATTGTGATGCATCTTTAATGGGTTTAGGTGGTGTACTAGTGCAAGATGGCAAGGTTGTGGCTTATGCTTCGCGACAACTGAGGGTTCATGAGAGAAACTATCCTAATCATGATTTAGAGTTAGCTGCAGTGGTTTTTGTGTTGAAAATTTGGAGGTATTATCTTTATGGTTCCAGATTTAAAGTGTTCAGTGATCACAAGAGTTTGAAGTATTTGTTTGATCAGAAGGAATTGAATATGAGGCAGAGAAGATGGTTGGAATTTCTAAAAGACTATGAATTTGACTTGAACTATCATCCCGGTAAAGTTAATGTCATGGTTGATGCTTTAAGTCGGAAGTCTTTGCATATGTTTGTTATGATGGTGAGAGAGTTGAAATTAATTGAGCAATTCAAAAACTTGAGTTTGGTATGTGAGTTGACACCGCAGAGTGTGATGTTGGTTATGTTTAAGACCAACAATTATTTTCTTAATAATATTAAAGAGAGTTAGAAGTTGGATGTGATGCTAGTGGACTTGATGGTTGGAAGTAATCAGACCGAGGATGGTGACTTTAGAGTGGATGAGCAAGGTGTACTGAGGTTTCATGACAGAATTTGTATTCCGGATGATTCTGAGTTGAAAAAGATGATTCTGGAGGAAAGTCATAAGAGTTTCTTGAGTATTCATTTAAGAGCTACAAAGATGTATTAGGATTTGAAAAAGATAATTTGGTGGCCTGGATTGAAGCGTGATGTGGCGCAGTTTGTGTATGCTTGTTTGACTTGTCAGAAGTCGAAAGTCGAACATCAGAAACCTGCATGGTTGATACAACTGTTAGATATTCCATAGTGGGAATAAGACATCATATCTATGGATTTTGTGACTGGGTTATGGAATACTCCGAAAGGGAATGACGCTATTTGGGTGGTCGTTGATAGACTGACGAAGTCGACGCATTTTATTATGATTAATATCAATTTTTCTTACAAAAGTTGGCAGAGATTTATATCTGTGTGATTGTGAAGCTGCATGGAGTTCTGTTGAGCATTATGTCAGATAAAGATCAGAGGTTTACTTCTATATTTGGGAAATTTTGCGGGAGGATTTGGGTTTGAAGCTGAGGTTGAGTTCAACTTATCATCCACAGACAGATGGTCAGACAGAAAGGACTGTTCAGTCTTTGGAGGATTTGTTGAGGGCTTATGTTCTTGAACAAAGAGGTGCTTGGGATAGTCATTCGTTGATCGTGTTCACTTATAATAACAGTTACAATTCTAGTATTAGAATGGCACCTTTTGAAGCTTTGTATGAACGGAGGTGCAGGACACCTCTGTGTTGGCATGAATCTGGAGCGAGTGTGGTGCTTTGACCTGAGATTGTTCAACAGACTACTGAGAAGGTGAAGCTGATTCGAGAGAAGATGAAAGCTTCATAGAGTAGGTAGAAGAGTTACCATAATAAGAGGAGGAAGGATCTTGAGTTCCAAAAGGGAGACCATGTATTCTTGAGAGTCACTCTGGTGACCGGTGTTGGGCGTGCT